ACTTAAATATGCTTTTTTAATAACAGTAATTTTTGTATCCACCGATATCACATCTCGGATATCAAATGCTTAGCACGAATAAGGGTCATAAAACACAATTTGCTCTAAATTTAGGACTGTGCCCACATTTGTCGACCAATAGTTTCCAAATTGAAACGCTCAAAAAGATCCTTGGAGAAAGATGATGAACTATGCAAATCTGAAATATGTTTTTAATAATAATTAGCGTTATTTTTTTTAAGAAAAAAAATTAAATAATTTGCGTTCTCATCATTTTATCAGACTATATTTAATTTGTCAGCGAGTTTCAAAATTTTGAGCGTTGAAAATTCAATTAAATTATTCAATAAAATTTGAGAAAAAGAGACATGGCAGATGTGTAAATTTGAAGGTGAAAAGATGTTTGGAAATTATGGGCACGAATAAGAGGAAATAGTTAACATTGAGAAAAACGTACATTCGTAGAGGGGATATTTCGCTAGTGGACCGAAACAGTTGAGCTTTCGTTTCGATCCCTCGAAGATCTTCGCGACTACACGTTTCTTTTCGAATTTATCACCAATCATTCGCAAATCCGCGATAAAACAATTTTTCGGGACTCGCGCTTACACACGGAACGCGCGTTTCTTACGATAATAAAGTAGCATAATCTAAAATAAAGTGTTCGTAACGCGAATGCGTGTGTTGCGATTCACTGTGTTGGTTAACCGATTCCGATCGACTGTAACAGTGTAAAAAATCAATCGATAAAGGAAAGTTGATTGACTGCGGTCTATTTTAGGATCGCAAAGATCGGATCGATCGATTATTCTGCGCTGACTTTGACGAGCTTCACAATGAACGCGGCACGTTCATTCGAGGCTCCGTAATACCGGTTACTAATTGCGTCATGATTGATTTCATCTCATATTCGGTTTTTGGATATTGGCCACCACCATTACCACCACTACGACGACCGATCGACCAATGCGGATGTTCCCGCACGTTTACCACACATTACGTGTTAACGAGTTCCTTACGTGTCTCCTTCTCGAGGATCGATAAAAGCCAGTAAAACATCCAAGCGAAAACGGTGCACCATTATTGTTCACTCGTTGAGTGCGCGCCGTGAAATGTGCGTATATAGGCTTTGCATCTCCTGCCAATTTTATCGACGACACGAGCAACGTCGCGATGCATCTTGTGATGTGCAAAGAAAATACCCAATGGCTTTTACGCTAAGATCGCGGACGAATTCGATAGACTTTCGAAAGTTTGCAAAATTCCAAATTCTACCAGAGAGTCGAAATTTTCTCTACATTGATTCTACAAACAAACATACTGAGAAAAAATATCTAAAAATTAATAACTATTTATCAGATGGATACATATTTACTTAAATCAAAATTCTTTTCATTTCAATCGAGTATTGTTTACTGGGTTAAAGTAAATAATCCTCGGTTTAAATGAAGAAAATTTTTATTTAAGTGAATCTTAAATTCGCATTCATCCATCACATAAATATTTGTTAATTTAATATTTTTCTCAGTATACTGATAGATTTGCAATGTCAATGGAGAAAATATAATATTATATATAAACTATGGTCCTACCTTAACACACTGCAAACGGTTACTGCCGTCTTTTTCATGTTGAGACTCGAAGAAAAGCACTTTTTCTAGAGTTATTTAATATTTTATTATATTTTCCAATATTCTAATATAATCTTTATACTTGTTTTCAAAAAGCAATGTATTGATTACATAATTTTCTCAGCTGTAGATAAAGTATACGTGAGACAAGCAAATATTAAATATATAATACATAATATGGGCGATAATGAGATTAATGGGTAAATCAAATAATGAATTTCTTTTATTTATGATTCTTTTATGAATATTCTTTTGATGGCACTAAAAATTTTGATAGGATGTGTATATTCCTAGAAGATGTGAAAGAAATTGTATAAACAATGGGAATTCGGTATAAAAACAAGGCTAGACAGAAGTGGAAAAAAAAGTGTTGACAGATTTAAAGAGCCAGATGTTTAAGATACTAAGGAGCGTTATTAGAGAAACAAATTTCAATACTTGTGCGAGATTTGGATCGATATTTGTAGTTGTGAATTATTTACGATCTTTGATAAAGAATACAGTTAATTATAAATATATATTTACAAATTAGTATCCAGTCAATTGGAAGAGTACCTTTTCTTGCAAGAAATGCAAGCAAGTTGATAAATAATCAGAGATTCATAAAGTTATGATTATTTATCAAATGAGAAATGAAGATCTATGTCAGCTTTAAAATTCTAAAGATTCTAAATTTCGACTCTTGATTCTCGACGATTCTATGTCAAACTGTCAGAAATTAGAAATATTCTTTGTAATATGTAAGTAACACATGCTCGATGCTGACGAGAATCCGATTAAATATTATAATATTAAAATATTATAATATTTAAATATTTTTAATAGTGGAAGAAATATATTTTGGTGGCCCGATGAGAATTGTAAACAACGTGGTATGCGCGTCGTTTATCGACTCGAGACTGTCGTAATGACTCCGACAAGTGCGCGACACGTATCAAAATAATGAGCAAAAAGGGCTGTGTGACGTCACCTTCCAACCATCATCACCCAACGGTTGAGCGATCATGACAATCGACGCTTTCCAAACGGATCTTTGAAATAGCCAAAGTGTGAAATTGTCAGGACGATTGCACGCGCAGCATTTGTCAGGTGCATTAATTGTCGTTGATTAACGTACAATCGTTAATTAACTCCGCGTTTCCGATCGACACGTTATTTTGTGTGTGACACCATTGAGCGCCTGGTCACGAAAATGACCAGAAGCCGCTACCCCAGAATGGAACACAGGATGCAGCGGCGACGAGGTTAATTTCTTTTTCATCTCTTTTGAAAATCTTCAAGTCCTAGTAGAAAATAATAGTAGATTATAAGAGAAGAAAATTTGTTGTTTTATTCACCTATGCTCCTCTTAATCTGATTATTTTGATATTTGCTTGTCGCGTTATACATACGTTTTATCTAAGTAAGTTACACAATACATCGCTTATTGCAACTGAAGATTGAAAAAGACTAAAAATACAGATAGACTATTGAAATAATTCAATATTTAACAACTCTTAAATAAATACTTGTTCAAGTCTCAACAAGACTATAACCATTTGCAGTATTAAAAAATAATCCTTCAACAAATTTGACAAAGCTTGCACGATTAGTGTGAAAATAAAATTTCGACTCAGGCATTGCTCTTTCTCATTCACAAGTTTAACACGTCGACTGCTGCTGCATTGTAGTGTGCCGGTCACCGGTAACTGACGCTACAATATTCCGCGTCTCATTAATTTACACGTAAAACGTAACCAACTGCGTGTACCAAATTGAGTATACGGTCGATAGAGAGTCAATGAAACGAGCTAACCAAATATACATCTCGAGATGCAATTTATTTGCAATATAATCTTTATCTTTGATAATTCAAGCTCGAATTGAGCATTGAATAATCAGCGAAAATCAGCGCAGCAGTGAACGTGTTAACAGACAGTGTCGCAGAGACTTTACCATAAATGATCTCGTAATAATTGAGATAACGATCGGCACTTGAACATTTCATCTTTCTGAGACAACATTTTCCGCAAGAGGCTCTCAGTCGGAAAAGTACGCTTGGCAAAACGATCGAAAGAGAGAAAGAGAGAGAGAAAGAGAGAGAGAGAGAGAGAGAGAGAGAGAAAGAGAGAAAATAACAAGTCTCGTGAGGACGATAAAATCTGTTTGGCAAACAGGCGAGTGCGTCGATTGAACAGTGATCTCGGTTTTACTGAGCTTTCAGGGATCCCCAGGTGCTGTAATTAATAATGAGCGACGTCTATAGCGATACTGGACGATCGAGAGCCTAACCCGAAAGTGACGAGGCGTGACTCAATGATTTGCATAAATTGTAACGAACGAGATGATAACGTGATAACGATGAGACGTCGATGAAAAGGAAAACTGCTTGAGTCCACTGCGACGACAATTTCCGTTACCCAGAATTCTTGTCTCGCGACAAACGTGCATGCGTTTCCCTGAACTCTTTCGCCACTCTTTCGCCACCGTACGGCTGTCGCGACGCGCGTTAATTCAGAGCAAACGGTCTTGCTTTCTGGGTAACGTGCCACGGTCCTTGCAGGATATGAGGTGCGAGCCATGTGCATTGACTATATGAGGTACACGAGGTGTGGATGAACATCGTCGTGATAACCAATGTGCCGAGCGAGCGAGGATGAAACGCGATTGTTTGCCTGATAAGCGTCTAATTAAGTGCGAAAGCCACGCCGACGATGATTTCCGGAAAATCGAGTACCCTTCGATCCCTCGCGGTGTTTGCTCAACCTCGCTCCTTCGACCACGAGAGAGTGTCAACGAAAGGGACTCTAATTTGTTTCTGTGCACGAGCAAGAATGTCCGCAGGTGCTCCATTCTGCGGTCGTTTCCCGTGAAAGCTCTCATGCTCTCTAAACGCAGTTCCGACGCGATTCAATTTTATTGTCGAATTTACACTTCGAAATGATCCATTAAACGGAATTTATTGAAGAAAGGTCTACTCTTCTCTCGGTCCCCTAACTTCCAGAGTAAAATAGACGCCGATTTCGTCGTCACGTCGACGGAAACTGAAAAAAAATTCGCGGCTGCTTGTCGAATTTGACCGGCGGGAGAATCACGGAGGAATGAGAATCGCGCGTTCGTCGATTTCGTGCTGCCGAATGGGTAATGTCGGCACGACAATATCGCGCGCACGACCATATCATGAAGCACCTCTTGAAAAGAGCGAAAAGGCAGATGAACAGATCCTCTATGGCGAGAGTGCAAGACGAATGACGACGGAAGGGGGAGTGGGAGAGAGTTCGGGTGGACGAATTCGTAGACAGAAACACGGGGACATAAAGTTTAACAGGAGGTATAAAAGTACTGTCTGTCGTGGTCCATGTAGCGCTGAAGAGGGCCGGAGGTACTCACCCTGTGTATCATACTTACTGGAAAAGTTCCGTGTCGCCAACATGGTCGTCAGTATAGCGCCCTGCAAGTGAGAAGAAAACACGATTACCGTCGGGCATGCGTGCCAGACAAATGAAACCGAGGAGCATTCTGTCGTAAAAATCAGACAGCGCGATTTTTACGACGGTAATAACGGCGTAATAAAGTTGTCCCCATCTAGCCGAGATACCGATTCGAACATAAATAATAGTAATATAAATAATAAAATACGAAAAATTTCTTAGGACAGTAGACTTTTCTCGCGCGAAGCGACATCGTTTCAGTCCTTTTCTCTTTAGCCAATTCAATCTGACTTTTCAAAGCTGAAAAACGACAAAGCATCATTTCATCGTATTTAACAACTTTGATCGTTGTTACGAGAGATTTTGAGCCGATTCAGATCTCGAGATTGATTCGCTAACTGCTTAGTTGCATTGTTCATTTTTTACACGTAGGAAAATACGTACTACGTTCAAGTAAGCGTTACTTGTCTCAAGTATTTCATAAGAAACACGTTCGCATATCTATCATGTAAATTCATCACAAGCATCAAATTTTATTACTTGTTATTTTTATTATTTTTATTATTTTTATTACTTTATTCATAAAATATACTCTGAATTCTAGTAAATTTAGCACTTCAAACAAGAATGTTAAATGAAAAAAGAAAAAAAATCGGTTTTCTCTTACCACATAGAGTTGACTTCTAATAAAGAAGATTAATTCTTCTCTAGAGTGCGGGATAGATGAGTTTTTTTATATTTGAGTATATTTTCAGACTATTATCAAGAAAATATTCCTCGTTGAAAATAACCATTACTTAAGAAAAGAGAAACAGACTAAATAATTGCTGTTCTTAGCAGAAAATAGTGTTTTTCTGTATGTAGGCATTTTCCACATGAGTGGGCACGGAAAATCAGGGTAGAGTGCGTATGATTACGCCAATCGTTCGGAAAGTCCAGAACGTTGCATCACAATGAGAGAGAAAGAAAGAGAAAGAGAGAGGCAGCTTTTAATTACGGGGAATAATACAATAGAAGTGCGAGGGAGTACGCGACTGACAGTCAACCTGAAGAGCGAGGGTTGTACGTAGTTTCGGCTTGAAGTTTATCCATAAACTCTCTCGTCCTTCATCGAGCATGTCGCAACGCTCGGTGATATTCGCGGCAAGTTGGGAACATTGTCACGCAGTTAGAAAATTTCACTGTTCCGTAACGGCTCCATGATGCATCGCGATAACTTTGCGTTAATGCGGCCGTCATTCAGATAATATTATCGGAAAAGAGAGAAAGAGAGAGAGAGAGAGAGAGAGTCCGAACGAATACCTTTTTCGCGTCCGTGTTGTCTGAAATCGAGCGATATTTCTCGTCTCGTTCGACCGGCCGCGTCGCGTCGCGACGGATTAACGACGTTGCCCATTTCTCTGTTTTATGACATCCGAATCACGCGATCGATTGGACAATAAAACCTTGACGGTGATTCGTCGATACTCTTACGAGCGAAACGTCGACAAGTATCCAAATAAACAACCTCGAAACGCACGTTAATCCGGGAATTAACGCGCGGCGAGTAATTTACATACCAGCGACAGAAAATCGACGCTGCAGAGTTGTCCGATCGATATCATGAATAAATTTACCAGTTAATTCTGATAATTAAATTAGCACGAAATTCGTGATCGAGTAAAATTCTCTTCTCTCTCCCCCCCCTCTCTCTCTTTCTCTTTCTCGTTATATTTTACATATCTTTTTTAACTTTTTCTCTTTTGCAAAATAGCCTTTAAATTTTTGTTGTTAAATTCTCCACTTTATACAATTGTAGTTTCGCGATAAAGATAAAATGTTCAATATTACTTGAAACATACCGACGATACGAGAGATACTTAATCTTTCGCGATAAGCCACCGTATGCTCGCACAATTTAGGAAAAAGTTTTCCGCTCTCGTCTCACGATGGCTATTTAAAGACGCAACGGGTTACGGTCTTCATCCAACATTTCACGATCATTCTATCTTCCATTTGACCTTTCCACGTTACTGGGTTGCTATCTTTCTCTCGTGAATTTTAACGAGCGTTGGAATTAACCGCGCTAGACGCCGGACGAATTAGCACCTACGATGCGTGTGTGTGCGGTTGCTCGTATATTAATGTACACCGCCCGACGCGCAGAGATACTCCCTCGATTTACGCGATGTACGGACAAATGTTATTCGACAAGAGCGGTAGACGGGAATTGACGATAAATCGGGAGTCAACTCGAAGAGAGATAAATCTGTTTACTTCGAAATATCCCCCGCATGAAGATACTCTGAATTAATTTTAACAATTTCGAGTGTTTCTTCGTTCTTTCGAGGAAAAGCATGAAAATACCCTCTGAATTTGGCTGGAGTAATTCGAAAAGTAGAGTGACTCATCCCCATACAGCACAAATCTTCAAAGGACGTTCTAAAGACGTTCTAAGGACATTCATACATCCTAAGAACGTTCCAGAACATTCTCTGAAGATTTTGTGCTATCTGGGTCAAGTCATTCGAGTCATTTTTCACTCGTTGAATTTGAATATTTTATTCGAAATTCAATCTGATGCAGTTGATCGTCACAAGAATCGATTTACTTTAATCGACTGTATTCGCTTATATAGAGTATCTGATGAAACATATAAAATTCTCGTGCAGATTAGGTCAAACTAAATAAAAAATACGAGTTATAGATTTAAGAAAATTGACGAATAATAACGCGCGATAGATTAGTTGTGATGGTGACGCCTGCGGTTGTGTGTGCTCGTAGATTAGGGCAAATTGAACAGTCCTCTCTATTTTCTTTTAATAATCATGTGTGGATTTTTAGTTATTAATTCGCTCGGAAATGTTCTTTAGTTATTAACTAAAAATCTGTGTGATGGCGTGGTTCTTTGCAAGATGATGAAGAACTTTTTTGTTCAATTTGACCTAATCTACATGTACACACGAGAGTTTTTTTATGTTATCGCCAAACGCACCCTATGTGAATCCACTCAAAGCTCGAGTGAAACATTCACTCTCGCAATGCAAGAGTGACAGTATTTTCACTGTCGCTTCGAGTGAACATACTGCCGCTTTTGACTTGTGTTTTGAGTGAGATTTCACTCCAAGAAATTCAGAGAGCAAATCGAAAATTTGGAATAAAGCTTTTTTTATACGAAATTTCCCGAGAAAATTCACATTATTACAATCATTGCCGATATACAATATAAGTAAATCTCGCAACGACGGCATTGTAACAAAAGTGTCGGTGTATTATCGATAATGCAGCTATTTATTTCCCCCCGGCGCGTAGCCGGCGAGCGATGTCGCATTTGCGATACGACGGTGATTAAAATTTCATTACCTCGGGTACAGTCGTCTCCTGTTGTCTGTACAACATGAATTTATTCTTCAGCGCCCGCATGTTTCAATCTGCCAGCGAAGGGCCGTCGTTAAACTTTCCCACTGAACATTTGCATTTTTATGAGTCCACCTTAATCGACATTTGGCTAGCTCCTATGTCGCCCGGCGTTTTTAACGCGCTCGACCAATCACATCTTCAATGCGCAGCGAACTCGATTTAACTGGTTCGAACTGCAAGGTCTGAGAGTCCATGAGTTCACAGTGGGACAGTTTCGCTGTTCGTAAAATAGCAGAGAGCATTACGTGCGCGTCCAATTTGGAAAAGCCGAGTTACAGTATGAATTACGAAGGCTATCGCCGCGGCACACGATACATGAACTTTTAATGCGCATACATAATACATAAGCTTCTTATCTCTTATAATGGCGTAACATTTGCAATTGTTGCAACATTTATTAGTAAATTGACGTTATTGTGATCGTATAATAATTTTATCGTTCACCGATGCGAATGACTCATGCTCTGTGAACTCTCTTTTACTGATAAGAGCGCCTCTAAAAGTGACTGAAAGTCAATCACAAGGGCTTAAAAACCACATTTGGAGACCGATAAGAAAGAGTTGAGAGTAAAGGCCCATATGACGATTGGCACGGGAGGTGAGGACGCATTATTTTCAAATTCTATCTTATCACACATCTTCTCTACTCGTCGTTCTCCGCGCACTATCTACGTTTGGCTCACTCAGACACTTTCGTACACTCTCTGTACGAGCGATCGACCGTTCGTTTCATTATTGACGAATAGTGTTATAATTAGCGGGCCTCGATATTTGATTCTCGCGGGGGCAGCCTTGCGCAAAAATACGAGCGGGACGGTCGAATGGACGTTAATTAAGCCGATACGCAATTACAGCCACGTCTCGTCGCACCGACGAGATAATCCGGCCTGATCGAACCTGCGCGCGCTATCACCGAACGCTAGTAACGCTCGATAACACTCTCGCGAATCGACTCACGAGTCGAGGGAACGCGAGTCTCTGCCGAGTCGCTAATTCGCGCCGACTTTAAAACCGTGTCGTGCATCTTAATGTGCGGAAATTGCCCGTTCTTGTACGGAATAGAGCGCGTGTCGACTTTGAAGGAATTACGTGTGTACACAGCTGCGTCTCCGCAGCGCAAATGCGTTTCTTTGCCGTTCTCATGAGCAACGATATTTTTCTATCTAATCATTCACCCCAGAGACTACGTCAGTCGCGCGAATTTATAAAGTGAAGTTACAGGCGAATCGCGACACGACTTCCGCGATATTACCGATGTTCCCTTAACATAAGCCTGTCTTGATCTATAAGTCGTGGCGGAATTCTTAGGGGAAAACTCGCGAGAAAATATCGGAGGAATCGCGTTTGTGGACACTTGCGTATCCATATATTCTCGGTCGCAAAACTTTTGCACACTTTTTATCGGATAAAGTCGCAGTTTTTCAAGTTGTTATAATTGAAAGTCATCGCGCTAACATGTGCACTATCGCCTTATCCTATATTTTATCAACTACTTGGGAAATATAATATTCTCTTACTTTAAAATAAATTTTTCTTTTTAAATTTATTGTCACACTCCGTTATTTCGGCTCGTGTCACAACCGATTTACTACGCGTGTATGTACATACGTTAACACTGGTTAGTAATATCTTGAAGCGTTGCGACTTTATTTGATAAAGAGTGTGCAAATCGTTTTGTGTCAAGTGGATTTGGGAGCACACCAAACTATATTAAAATTAAGAGTCATTGCTGACGAGTTTGCTCAGTAATTATATAATTAATATTATCAATTATTAGTAATATTATTATTTATTATTAGTGTTGTTAATAATGTTACTAATTGTAACATCGGTATTATTGCACAAGTCCGTCGGTGATGACTTTCAATTTTGACAATCCAGTAAGCTCCCAACTTGATTGTGTCGAAACCGTTTTGCAACCAATTGTACACCTGAGAATTTTTTAATATTTTTGTACTATATAGCATGTGAAATTACAAGTAGAATTCTATTTCGGTATAATTCTGTCGTGAACTAGACCTGAAGCGCAAGACACGATGTATTCCAAGGAAGAAATTACTCTCTTTCTCAATTTATGAAATGTCGTGTAACGTAACTACATTAAAGTCGCGTGTGTAATTCGAGTATTTCGCACGTGTAAACCACAAAAGTCTCGCGCGGTTGAATCGCGAGCCATTGTCGGGCGTTTAATGGTTGCTCGTCAATCATATCGAATAATGAAATGTTTCCTTGCGCTTTGTTTATTGAACAACTGCCACCAAGTGTCGATGCGATTACGTCGTTCAGGCGAGACCGTAAGAATCAAGAAGTGGGACAAAGTCGAGCGTTCTCAATTAGGCTCCTCAGTCACAAGGACATGGTCCCAATAATTTAGTCTCGTTACGTCCGAAAACGCCTGCCGACTCGAAATGATCAAACTTTGGTGATCCGTTCGATAAGAATGATGGGATTAACCGAGTGCACCTTTGCGCAACCGTGTAATTAAAAGTTTGCGTAACTACGTTGCGTAAGTACTTTTCTCGAAATCTAATTTCTCTAAAAAAAGTATAAAATAAAAAGATCGAAAGTCAACGAAGAAGATAGCCAAGGGAACTTTAACGATGTAAGATCACAGTAAGAATATAAATAAACATTTCAAAGGAACAATAAAGATTGTGATGTAAAAAATGTGAAACCAGCATACCCGACTAGTTATCGTAAAAAAATCGCAATTGTTAATACTAAAAAAGCTAGATATCGCGCTCTTGAAACGAAATCAAAAGGCTAATGAAAAAGAAAAAAATCGAAGAAACAAACAAATCTTCACGCTTCTGTACGTTTACGAGGGTTTCGCACTCTCACACATTCTCACAATTAATTGAATCAGACTCCCCGTTTGCGAGGGTTTGCGCGTTTTGTTCGACCCGTGCATTCGACGCATTTCGATAAGAGCGAACGCACGTCACGCACGTGTCTCCGATAAAAAGCGACACTTTCCGCTCTCGTAGCGCGCGAGAGTGCGGTGATTGCAACGGCAAGTGGACTCGTACTGCTCGTTCCATCGTTCGTTAATCGACAGTGTGACTTGTCGAACGACAGGGCCGTAGAAGCGGTGTCCATAGGTAGGGAGGCGTCATCGATTCCCAATCGAATCGCCGTCGTCGCTGATCGACTCGGATCGATTTTTTTTCTTACAGAAATCACGATATTTTCAATTGCTTCTGACGCGAATCAATTGTCTCAAGGCAAAGTTGATTTTTTATATGCCCACTCATCGATACTGTTATGTTTATAAAAATACAAAAATATTTGATACAAAAATTACAATCAATTTAATCAAATTGTTGCCTCAGTTTAATACAGAAAGTTTAAACTTTAAGTGTGTTGTGCAGAAGACTATAAAAGAGACGGTAAATTTGGTTGTAAATATAAAAATAACTAAGATTTCAGCCGAAATCCTAGCTCCTTCTTCAACTGAATTTCGGACGCATCTTTCAGAGTCACTTTCTTCTCTCTCCTATATACTTTGAATCATGGATATTGAATGAAATGAGGAAACGTTAGACCTACGACGGTGATTTCGGTATCAAAATATCGATGGACTTTTTGTCGTCAATTTCAATGAGCAAAACTCGAGTAAAACTGTCAAATTGACTTCATAAGACTTAATCGCAAACTTTCCTCTTGAAAATGTATCCCTCGTTAATGCAATACAGGGTCTTCGGGGATTATGTAGATATTGTATGTTTAGCGATCTCCTTCTCTCTCTCTCTCTCTCTCTCTCTCTCTCTCTGTCGTTTGATAACGTCTCCCAAGAATCGATAAGTGGGATTTGCCAGCGTAATGCCGGCGACCACGCGCTACGTCGTTCTAATTTTACAGACATTACTAACATGCGCCGCGCGGCACGCAGACGCAATCTCGACCGCAACGTGATAAGCGGACATAATGGAATTTACATTTGTAAATAGTCAGACTAATATACGAGATTTTGCGGCTGGTGAGTTAGAATTTGCACGATTACCGCGTTACATCTCCGCGTGTCCGGTCTAAAACTGACGACTGAGAATCGCGAATCAAATAAATCTCGGTTTCTTGAAATCTCTCGTAACAATCATCCATATACCAATGATGCGTTTCGCGAAATGAGCCGTCTTTAGTGATGAATCTCCATTTATCTCGCTAAACGATTATTCCAGGTGCGCTTCGTCCGAGTGTAATTCGGGGAACCGACTAATTAGGACGAATCGGGACAAGAAACTTTATCACGGCAGACAACAGGAGCGAGTTGGAATAAAAGATTACGCGTCCTTTTACGCATGTGTAAATCAGATCTTGCATAATATTGCATTTCCATTTGCTCTCTCCTCTCTGTTTTTCTTGTCTTTTTGCATTGTACCGCGGGTGATTGGAAAAGTGTATTCGTTATTTATCGCACGCGCCGACCTTTCGCAACGCGACGGAATTATTTAAATAACAAACCGCAAATTCATAACGCGGAATTACGAAATATCGTCGTAGTGACGAGTCGGCGAAATTGAAGACAGCAATAAATCGCGCGTCGCAATAAACGTGTTTACGAAACGAAACCATACTCGCACTCACCTTTAATTTGCGCCTTGCGTTGAATTTCTTCAAGCAGTCCACGGTCTCTTGTCTGTGCACCACGGATGCGACACGCTCACGTTGCTGAAACACCAAGTAAACGAAGAGCGATATCAGCCGCCGTCCTGTGGGAACGATTGGATTAAGTCTCGCCCGAGATTAGATCTTAACCCTCGCGCGCTTCGCCGAAAATGAAATTTTATCGTTTCGTAAGCCAGCGACGAGAGAAAATGGCCAGTGTACGACGTATCCCCCGATACAAGCCTAGCTCGTATACTCGTGAGCTCGTGAGTAATAATGAAAATGACACAATCTCTAATGGTAACTCAAGTAAATTGCCCGGCAATTTTGGAAAGCTAATAAAATTGGCAATTTAAAAAAGGAAAATTACGCGCGGTAATAGAGAAATTTTTATATATGGCTCGAAAATTTATCCTTTAAGATGAGTAAAATGTATATATTTAACTCATATTTTTCATAAAATATTTTGTAATACTATATCGATATATTATATATAGCATACAGTAATTAGGAAATTAGAGAAGTACATAACTAGAGAAACTTAAAAAAAAGTTTTTACAGCATTTTCAAGACAAAATATATTAGGCTCAATCTATATTTTTCGTACCATCTTAACCTTACTGACTTACAGTATTTTCATTTATCACTTTGCTATTTCACCGACTAGACTATATTGGAACAATTTCTGTACTATTTTAAGAAATGAAAACTTTAATACTCTCGAAAGATTACAAATAGTTTGCTTCCTCTCATCTGAGAGTCGTTTCAGAGATCATCAGATATACATTTGATGAGAATAATATAAGAATATTGTCCTATTTTTTATGCATTAGTGCGGAAAACTTAGGTAGTCTATTTGCGCATAAAATTATCAAAAACGATGAATTTTACCAAGATAAATTACCATCTTACCGTAATTTTACCGTAAGTAATCGTCACTTTGAACCTGATTTTACAGAATTTTATATCTCTACTCATGAGCATACGAGACGATTCTATCGACTTTCGTAACGTGTTAGTTTACACGACGCTTCGCCGCAAAGCTCCCAACTCGAAAATATTTCGGATTCTTGTCCGATATCATAACTGCGCTATTATAATGGCGCTACCGTGCCGTTTTATCAATTTATATTCCATCTATCAATTTTCGTTTCATTCGAATAACCGTATTTTAACGTATTAAATTGCAAACACGATAAGTCGCATATTACGTAACGTTGTCCAAATATTACAGAAACACGATACTTGGAGTAAAGTTTCTATACGCCGTACCGTGCGGCACGGGTTCAATTCGAGAACTGATCGTATAACCAAGTGTGATTATGTTACTTCCGAATTACGTATGTAAATCTGTACGAGCACTGATGATAATAGAGTAGACAGTACTTACGCAGATCCATGGATGCTTCAGTGCCTCGCTGGCAGTGATCCTCTTTCCCGGATTCACCGTCAGCATCTGATTGATGAGATTCTTGGCTTCCGGCGTGACGGTGTCCCATTCTGGACTCGGATACTGCGAACAACAAACGCAACAACATTGATGAGTCATTATACTCGCTTGTACTTCTAACCAATACAAATCATAGAATAGAATAGAGTCGGAACGCATGGAACACTCTCCTTCCGATGATCACATTTTTCTTTCCCGTATAAGCAAATCGAACGAAATGAAGAAAGAAGGGGCGTTACTACAGTGTGAGAAACATATTCTATGCCAGCAAATAGAAATACGTACACGTATGTATCGAGAATGCTGAACCGTGTAAAAAAAGACAGAAAAAAAGAGAAAGAGAGAGAGAGAGAGAAAGAGAATTTCTCGTCAAACACGACGTTGCAGAGTATCCGGAATTTCGAAGTGAATTGACACGATACATACATCATACGATCCGGCCTTGATCTGCGCGTAAAGTCGATGCTGATCCTCGTCCCAGAATGGTGGGTAGCCGACGAGAAGGATGTACAGGATGACACCGCACGCCCAGATGTCGACCGGTTTCCCATACGGCTCTTTCTTCAACACTTCCGGGCTGAGGTAGCCGGGCGTTCCCGCAAAACCTTTCAGCAATCACTCGGGTTCATTCCCACTCGAAGGATAAGAACGCGACGGAGACTTGCGTACCGAAGGATTATGGGGATCAAGGCGTTACGTGCGCGAAATCACGTTCCGGGCGTTATCCTTCGTTGTCGAAGCTAACACTCGGATGGCAAATATAATCTCGACTGCATACTTTTACACGGGACATTCCACCCTGACTCTGTCAAATGATCACACGTCTCTGAATGAGATGTATCGTAAATCGATATTTAGAAAAAGAAAGAAATCATACGGCAGTCGAGAATAAGCTTATTATCTGACTTAAATGTTACGAGTAAATTAAAACTCTACATACACGGAGAGAGAGAGAGAGAGAGAGAGAGAGAGAATATATCCTATTATAATCTCTATCCATATGAATTCGTTTTATATGTACTATATTTCTAATACTTCAGATATAGACTGTCAGTAAGATCCATCTTGCTAAGGAAATAGCAAATATTTTAATAGTACACATTTCAGTTCCTAAAATATAAATAGCGTATATGAAAAATGAAAGGTTAGTCACAATATCGATCTATTTCTCTCGGCTATACAATTCCATGATAATTACTGTAAAATTCTCTCCGTATAAAACAGTCCGAAAACACATAAAACAAAAATATTGAAAATTTGAGGTCTTTCTTCCGAATGTCTGTACAAATTTCATTACTATGCAAATAAGAGCACATATGTCGTATATACAAACGCGTGGGTAGAGTTCTAGGGTGGATAAATGATGGATCTGTTATTGGAGAACTTCAATTTCGCGATTAATCAAAACACGCCCATTTCCCATTTATTTCGCTCTAGTCAAAACATATACTCAAAGATAATAATTGGAATTCGAAAAAGTGTATCGTATACTGAGAGAAAAAAAATCGTTGATTTAATTAAAATTATAGTTATTTTTGGCCCCAACCATATTTTTCTAGTAAAATGGTAATAGTAACATGGATATAAGATTATTATCATATTTCGAGAAAATTTCTGAAGCGACGCCTGCTATTCTCCCCTTACCATTCTCGTTTCGTCGATCGCGCGTGAGACGCTCTGTTTCAGGAGCGTCCTCATGTAAGAAATATATACGTTGGTTACAACCGTTTGTCAGAGATACACGCGGTTATAAAAGTCAATAAATATGTAGCGTCGCAACTGGCGACACACGGTCTTAATTCTTTGCGGAACAATCACTTAAAAAATATACAAGCGCGATGGCGACGGCGACGAGAGAGAAAGAGAGAACAAGAGACAGAGCGCTGTGAAATGTTTCGAGGTCAATGACAACGAGAAGAAGGCAATTGGACAATTTAGGCGCGAGTTTTGTCATCATCTTTTGTTCTTCCCGCTTTTTGTCCCGACAATTTTAGTGTGTTTTGTCGCCGATGTAATTACTTTTTTCGATAAGCACGTGTCGCCGTTACATAACCAATTGAAATTGACACGCAGTCGCTTTGGCGCAGCAAAAATATGTGCGCAATTAACTCGGATACGATTGTTCTCGGAAATACTACACCAGCAACGAGAGTTATTCAATCTTTCGGCCGGCATCGATATCCATTTCGTTCGTTAAAATCTTTTAACGCGAGTCCGTTGAATAGTTCGTAAGACAAACCGTTACAATTTTCTCACGCTCCCGCGGTTGCGAGCACGAAGAGGAACGTTGCGGAATATTTATTCAGGACAAGTGATCAGGTTTCCACCCATGAAAGATCAATAATGTGATTAATGTTTTACGTGACTATCCCTATATTTTGCATATCCCTATGCATATGTAAATGTCTGTTTTGTCGCAAAGTCTGTGCGTTGTAAAAATTGTCGATGAAATAAATATTGATTCTCCGAATGATCACGTATCTCAATTGCACTTGGGGCAATCGGTTGCCCTTTACCTTTTACCTTTTCACATTTTAATTGACGCATAAAAGCTATGCAACTCTGCGCAGCAAATGATATTAGTTTTTTTTACCTTGGCCCAACGACCTGGCTGCGCGCGCATTTTCAGCTCTTGGAAAGACAGAGTGTGTGTGTGTGTGTGTGTGTGTGTGTGTGGGAGAGGGAGAGAGAGAGAAAGAGAGAGAAAGAGTAAAAAATCGATCGTGAAAATAAGCGAAAGATGAACATAAGTGTTGCCAGGATATTCGCACATGTGTATCGAAACATATAGGCTATCCCAGAAGAATCCATCTTAATTTTAACGACGTACTGTTTTGTCGATTGTAAAGAAATATTCGATAAAAAAGGTAAGAAGTCAATAATTTAAACACAATTAAATACACAAAGAGAGCATTGTAGCTTTCTTTTCATTCTTTTCCATTTTACTTTATATTTCTAGTAGTCCAGTCTAGTAACGTGCTGTCAGTGAGATCTATCTTGCTAAGAAACAGTACATTCTGTCAGAAACACAGCAAATATTTTATAATTAATATAATTTTATAGTAAAAATTACTATAGAGAACTGAGGAATAGATCAACATTTTGCATTAAATTATGATTCTTTCGTTCTATAGTTATAATAATAAATGGCCCGTCCTTCCTTAAAATATAAATATGAAATAATGATCTCAATGGTTTTTCTCCGTGAGAAAACGTCGCCTTCGAACTTCAAGGCGAAACCTCAGAGTCGTTAAAATTAAAAATTGGGACTTATAAAAGTCCTCAAATCGAATAGATACGAGAAGAAAATGCGAAAAGGTTAGCCGTGGAAAACTTGTCCCGTGCATTTTTACATAAAGAGGAACAAAACGAGTTGGTGTTGTTTCAATGAGTTCACCTGCATTCAAATATGCCGTGTTCATACACACACACACACACACACACACACACACACACACACACATATATACACAGCCGTCTGTGTGCCCGTTAATATACATAAATCAAAGAGACCACAAAATACATTGAAAGATTGAGGTTCATGGCTGGGATCGTAAATTATGTGAGAAACGACGAGACAGCTCGTGAATACAAGAGAGCAAACAGTTAATTAAAGAGCAATTGTTTCTCCACAGCGAAATGTAGTCAAGTTTTCAGAAAAAGACGATCTAGAAAAACGAGACAGAATGAGACTTTTCCTAACAGAACGAGACGAAATGAGTCTGAAATGAAGGAGTAGCTTTGTATTTCTTCTCTAAGAAAAGGAATAGACGAAAAGATAGAACTTGTCCGCGAGCACAATTAGTTTGCGATAGTCTTGATACGTCATATTTGGTATTTTCCTAGCTTTATACTTTGCCTGGATTTTGTGATTGAGGAATAAATCGACATTCTGTATTCTAATTCTTTCATTTTACATGTGCTATATACTTTTAGAAACCGAAATATATTAAAACACTTGTTGTATTTGTATAACTACTAGAAACATAATAAAATTAAAAGGAATTTGCACGAAGGAAAAAAAATTATAATATTCTCTCCATGTAGACAAAAGGATAGACGAGAGAATAGAACAGTGCCTTTTCCACGAATACAATAAGTTTGCGACAGCCTTGATATATTCTTGCTGTATTACGCTAACGCGCGTGTTCCCTACCCGTAAGAAAATAATACGTTACGAAAAGATAGATACCGTAAGTCGCGACGATTCTCGAACAAGAGCGAGACAACGAAGACTATGTTTCGCTTGAAAATTATAGTCTGCGATGTCAAGTTCGCAATTTGAGCCACGACAGTCCGCGGAATCCAGTTATTCTCACAGATATTAAGGGCCTTTCAGTCAATTCGAACTCGACTTGTTGAAAGTCTCGACACAAACGCGCCATTCTTTGCTTCTAGCTTCCCTTTTGTATCTTTTATTCAACAAGGATACTCGAGGGAGAATTTGATGAACTCTATACGTCGAAATTCCGGCGATCCGCCATTTGTTTGCGACTCGCCGTATCGTGCCGGGATACCGCCGGCAATCGCGCACAGCAACGCACGCTTGACAACGCCCGATTTACACGATCGAGCAACCCGTCGACGCGAAATTATTCGGCGCGAGCCCTCGAAATGGTTCCCGTCGGAATCGCGAGAAAAGAGAAAACGGTGTGAGCGATCAGGGGTCAAATATCGTGGCGACGCTCGGTCGCTCCGGATCGACGACAAAAGCGTGTCGTTGCAGCGGGAGAGAGAAGCTCCGACGGATTAACTGACCGGAAGAATCGGGGCGAACTTACCATACCATGCCTGTGCTTCACCCTGCACCTCGATCGCCAACCCAAAGTCCGCCAGTTTCACAGCCGCCCCTTTCGCTTTGCTCGCGAGGAGTAGATTCTCGGGCTGCAACAGAAAAAGGCCGTCGATTATTGTCCCGCAATTCTCTCGCACGAATAAGTTACGGGATTATTTGGGGTAAGTTGACAAAATTGATTATTTCTACTGTTCTCTAATAGATTTCAGAATCAAGCAAGCAGGAATTTCAAAGCCATCTCTGACACGTTTAAAAATCTAGCTCGCTTAATTTTGCAAATTGTAAAAAAAAACTGGAAATAACCGCCAACTTACACCGATGTCCAACTAGTCTCGGTCACCCGCGGCATTTACATTCTCGTTCAGGTTCTCGCCCTGAAGCCTCGACGATCTTAGGACAGATCTCCTGTCATTTTTCTCCCTCGACGTAATTGAAATCGCGGTGCGAAGTTGGCGAGTTGCTTAGTTCGGAAAATTGAAAGGGGGCGCCCCGGCGAGTTTTAAGCTTCGAACGAGAGAATACATACCCTCGATAGAGAACATCGTCCCGCCATTATTGTCTAGGTTTTCCGGGACGTACCGTGGAAATCGCGGAAAGTAGACGACGCATTGTACGGAAATGCATTGTGGAAAAATAGACCGCGCGGGTGCTCGTTTGCTTCGCTCGCTCGCTCGCTCGCTCGCTCGCTCGCTTTATTTCAACGTCGACTCCGCAAACGCGCAGTCCGCTCGGTAAACTCTCTCTCTCTCTCTCTCTCTCTCTCTCTCTCTCTCTCTCT